CTATGAACCTGATAATGAAGAAATGGCAAACCATCTTTCTCGACATGGAGATGGTGTTCGTGACATTGCTTTCAATGTTGAAAATATAGATATCATTGTAAAAGTAAGTTAAAATCATAAATTTCTTTGAATATGAAATAAAAAATCATAATTTTTTTTAGATCGCAAAAGAAAGAGGAGCCGTAATAGTAAAAGACATATGGGAAGAAAATGATAAATATGGTACTGTAAAATTTGCTACTATAAAAACTGTAAGTGAATGCATAACATCGTGAAATAAAAATAATATTTCAATAAAATTATTCATTTTTTTTATCAGTATGGAAACACATATCATACACTAATAGATCGATCGAAGTATAAAGGATTTTTTTTGCCAGGATTTCAAAAATCATCAGAAGATCTATTTTCAAAAAATTTGTATGTAATTTAAATCCAATCACATTATTCTTTGATAATATTTTATAATAATAAAATATTTAATAACTATTCTATTATTTAGACCAAAAGTAGGATTAAATTTTGTGGATCATGTTGTTGGTAACCAACCTGATAAACAAATGGAGTCAGTAGCAAAATGGTATATGAACAAATTAAAAATTTAAAAAAATGAAATAATCTATACAATTGAATTTGTATATGTAAAATTTTTATTATACTATTATAGGTATGAACGATGTTTGCAATTTCATCGATTTTGGTCGGTAGATGATACTCAATTGCACACAGAATATTCAGCTCTCCGTTCTATCGTAATGACGAACTGGGAGGAAACTGTGAAAATGCCTATAAATGAACCTGCTTCTGGCAAAAAACGTTCTCAAATTCAAGAATACGTTGAATATTATGGAGGAGCAGGAGTGCAACATATTGCTCTTAATACAAACGATATAATTACAGCAGTAAATTATTTTCTTAATAATAAATTTGTATAAAATTTTGTTTTAAAATAGAAAAATTTTATTATTCTACAGATAAAAAACTTGCGAGCTCGAGGAATGGAATTCTTAGATGTTCCAGATAGTTATTATGATATGTTAAGAAATCGTTTGAAAAATAATGGTATAAAAATTTTAGAAGATCTTAATATACTTCAGGTATTATAAATATTAAATATAAAATTATAAAATGAATTTAATAAAGATTCGTTAATATTTATTTTTAATTATATTTTCAGAAATTAAAAATTTTAATTGATTATGATGAAAATGGCTATCTTTTACAAATATTTACTAAAAATATGCAAGATCGACCAACGCTTTTCATAGAAATTATTCAAAGGCATAATCATAATGTAAGTATTAATATAATCATTTAAGTTCAGATAACAATAAAAATTATAATTATTTTTGTTCCAGGGATTTGGAGCTGGAAATTTCCAAGCACTCTTTGAAGCTATTGAAATGGAACAAGCTAAACGTGGCAATTTATAAAAATATAATAAATTCTTTATATTTTTATATTTTAACATTTAATATTTAACATTTATAATTTAACGATTGAAATAAAATACAATTATGTATATAAATTTCTTTCTAGAAATTTTAAATTTTAAATATATTTTAAATTCTTATTAAATTAAAATGTTTTTAAAATAGAAACTACCATTATATTAATTTTTTGTGTTGTATTTAATGGCCAATATTTGTTTTACAAAAATACACACAGTATGAGAAGATAAAATATGTAACAATACAATTTGAAGCTTAATAATTAACCATTAAAATCAAACATTATATCGTGCTGTATTAATATTATATTATAAACATATAACTAACAACAGGTGTCTTAAAAAAAGAGAAAAGCAAGAAAATTATTAAACTGTATTTATTTTTAATGCTCTCTTTTTGTTTCATGGCCAAGATATAAGCAAATGTTTTTCATATAAAAATTGCAATATCTAGAAAGAATGGAATAATATGTGATGACAAAGGATATTAAGGAAAAAGTAGCTCACTTATTTTAATCTGTGGAGTCCATGGCTCAGATATCTGTCTGCTATATTAACTGTGATAAACTTGCAGACATTTCTCTTCATACACTATCATGAATGCCAAGACGAAAGATGTCATGTTGACAGAAAAACGAATTCCCCAGTGGCTTCAACACAAAGATCTGTGAGAAGGCATGTGGTGGATCTTCATCTGCCTGTAACAAATTAGAAATATATTATTTATAATATATGTTATAGTAATATAATTATATTAAAAATTCTATACTTTTTTTTTGTTATTTATATATTTTATAAATCTTAGTAAATATTAATTTAAAAATCAAATTTATTATATATAAAAACATATTATATATTGATATTATTAATATTATCATTATTAAAATAATTAATTAGATTAAATAATTATTAAAATAATTAATAACTTTACTATTTATCATGCAAAAAATGCATAATATTTCAAGAATAATAAAAATAAAAAAGATGTATAATATAATGATAAACTTACCTACAATAAAATTTTATATAAAAAAAATTATTTTATATTTTTTCTTACAGTAATATAAATATTTTATTATATTTTCATAAATAATTTTAAAAATTAATTATTATAAAATTTCTATTATGTTAAAAAGTATATATAATAAGCATATTATATAATAAAAATATAATTTAAATTATTTTTTTATATTCATATATTATTTAGTATTATATAATATTATATATAATTTTAAAATTGTTCTCATACATAAAATTAATTAATCGTAATGATTAATCTTGAATTATTATTAAATAATAAGTCATTAAATTTTTATTAAATATAAGAAAAAATAAATTTTATTCCTATCAGTTCAGCAATTTAAAGTTTTCTCTTTATTATCATCTTTATTAGATAATTTATTAAAGTATAATTAATTAAATAGTACATGCAAATATTGAAATAATAAAATTAAAAAATTTTATCAAATTTAAATATAATATAATAATAAACTTTAAAATGCAATAGATATTTCCACTATATTACAAAATTACTTTAAGTCTCCATGTTTGTCAAATTATTATATAGTAATATTAGTAAGTGCAAAAATTATTTTTTTAAAATCTTAAATTACAGCAAACATAAAAGCAATGTTGCAAATAATATATAATAAAATTAGAATTAATAATAAAAAAGCATATTGACAAACATTAAGCAGCTTTAGACACTAAGAATTAGTATCAAGCTTGCCTGTACCATGATACGAAGATCAATGGAATAGTAATACCTGACGCCTAAACCGTGTTATGCAGAGCAAGTCTGAAGATGTCATGCTGCACGTAAAAGCTGGTACCAATTGGCTTCAGGACAAATGTCTGGATGTATGCATGGGGCTGATCCTCATCAGTCTGCCCAATCATCAACAATCACTGACTGAATTTTCTTATTTCATCTTCTTTGCGGAGGTATATAGAGAGATTGTTGCTGGACATTAGTCATAGCTCAATCTCTATCTTCATATGGCAGCACAAAAAATGTAAGGCAGTACAGTACACATTTGTGTAACATGTCCAGCCAATAAAATACAATATGTGGACGAATAGAAATAAATGCAATCAAAAAATTTAAAAAGAAAATATTAGGCCAAATATATCTTTATTTTTGAAAGTATATTGTATTGTAAATTAAATACGAATAGTAAAAAAAATTAAATTACTGAACTAATTGGAATAAAATCTCTGCACATATTGAATTATAAAATTCTTTTATGTATAATATTTACTATTCACATATATAAATATTATACTACTCATGTTTTTATAAAATTTTTATATTCATATTATAATTATATTATAAAAAAAGCTATTTTCTTTACCTGCAACCTTCCTAAAACATTAATGAGTACGCCACCATCAAACATTGGTTGTGAATCAATAGCAGTTATTATCCGATTTATTTTTTGAAATGTTAAACTCTGAAAATTAAAAATTAATAATAAAATAATAATCAATATAACAAAAAATATTAAAAACACTATATTTATTTTTTTTGTATTTCATATAATCTTTTTATAATCTTTTAAAACAATATAATTATTTAATATAACAATATAACTACATAAAATATATATAAAATTTATATAAAATATATTGGAAAAAATAATATTTATAATATATTAATATAATAAAATTATATGTATATATATTTCTTCCATAAAATACTTACAGTTAGTTTTTCCATGATTTTAATAGCACCTTGTATTTGCAAACCTTCAAATGTCATGAAAGATGACTCGGTCTATGAATATAACAATCAAATAAATATATAATATAAAAAATGTAATTATAAATATTTACATTAATAAAAACTTACATTATACATATTTATTAAATTTGGTCTTTGAGCAGGGTCGTCAAACATCGCATAATACTGTTGTACGAAACCCTTTCCGATAACTTCATATTGGGGGTTTAATGCCATTACGCTAACTTATTGTGTTCACAATTACTACACGATACTAACAATATCAGTCTTTCCAAGTGATTCAATCCGTTGACAAATTGTATTTAAAAAAAGTTCTACGATAAGAGTAAAATAATGCCTATTAACATCCCTCGTGCAAGATACAAGCGAGCAGGAAGCTACTTATGTCCACCAATCATTTCGATGTATCGAGAAAATCATCGGAATTATTCTCGAACTCTCGAAAAGTTTAGATATTTGGCAACGATTGTATATACTCGTTTTTGCACAAACAATGCTGCTTCTGATTCGTGATTGCTTCTGATTTAGAAATACGTAAATCTACTTCGTTGATTTTTTAAAAATTAAATAATTCATATTGTAAAAAATAATAAAGATGTTTGTATTATTTTAGACAAAATTGATTGATTGATTCAAGCGAAAATTTTTTATTAAAAAATAATTTTATTGAATGTCATTTAAATCGCGATTTAGGATTGGTTATCAATAAATATTACCGGATGTAATGATACGACATCTGTAGGTTGAATTTTGAATATTGAACGGATAAGCAATTGAAAGTTAGGTTAACTTCCTTTTTTTCGGTGTGAAAAACCGTGAGGTGTGTAGTGTTTGTTATTACAGAAACTAATCCAGAAACATCGGGAAATAGAAAAATAATTTATTTGTATATATAATGTTGTTCTTAATATTGTTTATTCCGATATTTTTGGAATAGCAATGATTTTTGCAATTTAACAATTTTAATAAGTTCTTGTAAGAGAATATATTCATATACATTTTTAAAATTTTGTTATATTAAATTAATATTGAAATAAAATTAATTATTAAATTTTAAGAATATTAAAAAACTAAAATTTTAAGAATATTAATTTTGTGTAAATTTATTTATTTTTAAATATTTGTGATAAAGAAGAAATTATGTGATATGTGTTTACAATTATGATTTAATCTGTTTAAACAGATCTTGCTAAAAAAAATTAATAATATGATACAAATTATTACATGAGTTTCATAACAACATTTATATTATAATTTTTAAATTAATAAATTAATTCTTTATTTTCTTGTCATATCTAGACATATCTTCAAGATGGTGAAGATAATGAAAACAGGAAAAGTCGTATTAGTCCTTAGTGGCCGATATGCTGGAAGAAAAGCTATTATCATGCGTAATTATGATGATGGAACTACAGAAAAACAATATGGACATGCAATGGTAGCTGGAATTGACCGATATCCACGTAAAGTACACAAAAGAATGGGCAAAGCAAAGATTCACAAACGTTCTAAAATCAAACCATTTGTAAAAGTAAGTTTTATAAATTATTATTGAAAATTGAAAAAATTAATAATGTAATTATTTAAAATCTTTAAACTTTTCGTATTAATTGTTAATATAATTCTTTTTTTTTTTGCTTATATTAAATGTTTTTTGTTAAGTTATATTTTGATATACTAATTTATTTATTGCAAATATAATTTAATACAATTGTAGGTACTAAATTATAATCATTTGATGCCAACAAGATATACTGTAGATTTACATTGGGATAAAGTAACACCTAAAGATCTTAAAGATCCAATGAAACGCAAGAAGATACGATTTCAAACTCGTGTTAAATTTGAAGAAAAGTATATATATTTATAATTTTTTAATATATTTTTTAAATTACTTAATTTTATATTTTTGAATATAAAAATTGTTTTAAAAATTATTTCAAAATTATTTTATATAATTATTTATTTTTAGGTACAAATCTGGTAAAAACAAATGGTTCTTCCAAAAATTACGGTTTTAATTAAATTTAAATAAATATAAAATTTACAAGTATTTTAAATGTGATAATTTCCATTTATTCTCCTACTCCAGAATGAAAAACAAATTTTTATTTTTTTATACATATACTTGAAAAGAGCATGATTCTAATTTATTTTTAATTTATAATGTATACATTAATGAATTAACCATTTTGCTATGAGAATACAAAGATACTTAATTTATATTATTTAAAATATTTTTAAAAAATAATTAAAAAAATTCTGATAAAAATATTTTAAGAATATAACTTACGGTATATATTAAATGAATAATTTAAAAATACATTTAGAAAATATATATTAGTAAATAACATAATTTAATAAATATTTGCTAAAAAAATTGAAGCATTATAACGAAAATTTCATTCATATTTTTATAAATTATCACTTGTTAAGTTTTTTAATACGTTCATCTAATGATTCTATGTTATTTTTTATAATTTCTAAATTTGATGCAAAGCTTTCTTGAACTCCTTTTAAAAGAGATTTATTACTCTCCAAATCGGATGTTATTTGTGATTGTAATTCTTCTAAACGCATTAAAGATTTGTTGAATGTAGCAGCTAAAAAGAATATATTGAAAAAATAATATATATTTTTAAAACAAAAAATATATGTAAAGTTTTTCTCATAAATATATTTAAATACATACCTTGTTGGTGAATGGTATTTAAAGCCAACATTCGATTTACAGTTTGTGGTAAAATTTGTGACATAGTTTCTGTCTGTTTCATGATATCATACATTTCTGAAATCTGAAAACAATTTGATTTTAATAAATTTTATTGGATTTCTACTTTCAAAATTTTATATAAATTATTATTTAATTATTTATATATTCTAAAAAAATAACTTACTTTTTGTTCTTGTTCTGAATCTAATGTTAGTGCAGCTTTTTTCTGTGCAATATTATCCATCCTATGAATTAGTGTAGCTAATCGACTTTCAATTATATCTAATTGATAAGTATCTAGTAATGCAGCTTTTGCTCCTAATTCTTGAAGAGCTTCCATTACTCCTTGACTTTTGAGATTCTATAAAAAATTATTGTTTATATATTAAATTAATTATTATAATTATGTAAAAAATAATCACATTATATACCTGTGAAAATTTAGAAAGTTTATCACTAGTTGTTCCAATGACACTTTCTAAATTGCAAAGCCTTTGTTCAAGTAATGCAATTCTTGCTGCTTCTTGCATTCTTGCTTTTTCTGGAAGATACATCATCTGATACTTGAGTACACCAGGTTCTGTTTTATTAATTTTATCATCTTTTATATTTTGTACTTTTGAATCAGTATCAGAAGTAAGAATACTAGTTTGCTTGAATGCTTCTATTTGTGATATCAATTGTCTAAAATATTCATTAATAAATGAAAAATTTATTTCATTCTATATTCATTATTATAACATAAACTTACTTCATTCTTGTGCCTTGTGGATCAGATAGAGTAGCAACAAGATCAGTTCCAAGACATTCTTCTAATTTTAAGGAATCTAATTGTTTTTCTAGAAGTTGTACTTGAGAAATCACACCAGCAACAGATTTTACTTCATCTTCTCCATTTTTTCCTATTTTGTAAATAAAATAAAAAATATTTATATATTTATTTTCATTAATAAAATGATAAATTTATTATATAATATAATAAGATAAATTTCAAATAAATTAAATACTTTTAAATCATTCACTTCTTCATATAATTCTTTAATTTCACATTGTAAACGTTGATATTTTTGAATAAGAGTTTCTTTTTCTCCTTCTCCAGGTAATTCCCAATCTCCAAATCTAAAATTTATATCTTTCAATATATATAATTTATTTTTTATATTTATTTACCAAAAAAATTTACTTATAGCCAGTTCTTGGTTTGAGTGATACTCGATCTGAAAAATCAACTCCTTTGCTAATAACATGTTTATTTTTAAACTTATTAAATGCTTCTGTGGCACTAATATGTAATTTTTCTATAGAATCTGTTTCATCCTAAAAATATAAATATTCATATTATTAAATAGTGTAACATATAATAAATATTATAAATAATCTTCACATATACATATAATACATATAATGTTATACCTCAGGGTAAAGTTGAAATTGTTCTGATTCTGGTAAATCAGTAGTTTCATAAACATCAACTTGATCATATGCCTATAGATATAATAAAAATATCAAAATATTATATTCATTCAACACAACATAAATTATAGAATACTGAATAAAATAATATCAAATCTTTATTTTATTTTTATTGAAATTTTATATTTGATATAAAAATTCTGTGTTCATTTCGTACTAAATTATAAACATACATATATATAAAGTTATAGTTATACTTTATATATATATAAAGTAATAAAGTTATCAATCAATCAATCATCAATATAATTTTGACATTATATGAAATACTTACAATCCCAGGTAAATCAGCATATTTAGGATCAGCCATTTTTCAGCGATTAAATTAAAAAAAGTTATTAAAGTTTAAATTATTTTATTTATCCAAAAAGTTTAATCTTTTATTAATAATTAATCATAAAATAATATTAATATAAAGTATTAAGATTTCTTTCGAATATATCGTAAATTGTCACTAAGCACTTTACATATATTTTACGTTCATACGACTTGCACGATATCTTCTAGCAAGTATCAGCACTATACAAAAAAAGTGGTAATTTTAAATAATGATAAATGATAAAATATGTATTTTTTTATTCTTTTATTCTAAAAATAATAAATATCATAATAACAATAAAATTAAAATAAATATATTATTAAATTTTTCTTTTCGATTTAATGATATTAATAAATTTAATCATTATTATTATAATATTATATTTGATGATAATATATTTTAAAAATTAAACTATCAAAATATTGTAAAAAAATAAAAATATAGAATATATTATAATTTTATTTTAATAATATATATTATTTTTAATATTGTGTATTAATTAAATTTATAAGGTTATTAAAATAAAAAATATAATTCCATATATAAATTTATTATATTTTATATATTTGATTACAATATTTTACTTTGTTTAATTTTATATAATTTTAAATAGTATTTAAAATTATTTATTTTATAAAAATGTAGATAATTTATTATATTTTATAATTTGATTTAATTAAAATTTCTCTTATATGATGATAATTTATTCAAAAATATATAAATATATAAATACAAATATACAAATTTTAATCGTTATTTTGTAATTTACAATAAGACAATTAAAACTTATTCACTAAATAATATTTATTGTCATTTAGAAATCTAATAATTTAAATATTCTAGATATCTTGTGAAACTGCATTTTTTATATGTTATCATTCAATTGTTTCTGAAAGCTACAGATGTTGAATTAACTTCTATGAGTAATTTTAAATTCTTTCATATTTATTTTATATTTTTATTAATATCTTATTGTTAGTTTTTTCTTTCAAATCATTATTTTCAAAACATTAATTTTAAAAAATTTATAAATTCTTTGAAAATGTTAACATAAGAAAGCTAAGAAATATTTAATTAATACTATATTAATATTGTTAATATTTATGTACATACATTTTTTTTTAATTTCATTTCATAGTTATAAAAATGTTATTTTTGAAAATAATATTTATATATTTAAAAAAATATAATTTTATATAATTTCTTTAATAAAATATAATATAAAATAATATATATAGAAGTAAGTTTTTTGCTGTATATAATATATGAAAAATGATTCATGTAAAAATTGTAAATAATTTAAATAAATCATTTAAAATTTTATTATTGTTGGATAAATAAAAATGGAGTGTATAGGAATAAATGAAAGTAATTAAAAATTACGTTACAATTCTTCATGTATAACATAAGATGAAGATCTTTCTGAGGGGAAACCCCAAAAAAATGTAGGATATCCTTTAATTTCTCTTTCTCTTGCAACAAAAGCTGAGAAGGAAGATATACAATTTCCTATAAAATAATTTGCTCTTCCAAGAATAGTTAAATCTAAATGAGGTGATGCTGGTGAATCTTGTTTAAAAACTGGAACCTGTAATAAATGTTGAATTTATATGCAAAATAAAAATTTATCAACTCTTTAAATATTTTTATATTAATTAATTATTAGATTAACTAATTTTATTAATTAATATCTTACTTCCATTCGTGCTAAAGCTTTAGTAAGTTCTTCAATCATATAATTATTATCAGAAGCTACAAATACTGATTTAACATTACTACCATTGCGAATAACTCGTTTTAGATGACGCACTATTAAATCAAATGATGGTAGACACATTGCAGAAGTTGCTTTACCACGTTCATTTCGATATCCAAGACATTGTGGAGCAGCAAAAAGATTTGGTGTACTGGATATAAATTCACAAGCACGAACCTATAAAATATAAATTATTATTTTTTAAAATTTATAATATATTGAAAATATATTTTAAATACTTATAAAAAGAAACATAAATTAATACCCAATCAATTCCATTACGTAAATGAATTCCTACAAATGCTCCTTTTGGTAATTTTTGTTTTATAAATGTTTTTGCTTTATTCAACATATCTATATTCCATTCTATGTATTTATGTAATCTCTTATTTTCTAATTGAACAGGAAAACTTGCAGGTGCACCTGTAAATGCTAATACTGGCCAATGTAAAGCAGGATATTGTTTTTTCCATTGTATTGCCATATCTGTATGATAAACATCATAATGAAGAGGACCATAAAATTCTGATTTAATAAAATCTATATTATATGTATCCCAAAATGGACCAAATGGATTTCCATCTTTAGCATTACATGAATCTCCTTTTCCACGTGCAGAGTAGCAAAAAGCTAAGAAAAACAATATGTTGAATTTATTTCATTTTTAAACTTAACATTTAGAACTTACATACTCTTTCCTTAGGCTGCCATATTCTTGGTGCAATATCTTGTATAAAATCTTCCATTAATAATGCTTTATGATAGTATTGAACTTGTGAAACATTAAAATATGTGTCAAATGGGACTTGTATCTGTAAATTATAGATATAGATATAAAATTATTCATATTTTATGAAATGTTAAATATTATTTTTTACAAACAGATCTAGTTTCTCCAGTTCTATATTCAACCCATGGAGGTAAAACTAAAGTACGATTTAGCGCTTTTGCAAATCCTAAAGCGCCTAAAAAATGATCTGCTTGATTTCCAAATCGCCCTACAAATTATAATTAAATCTATAATTTTAACGAATTATTTTTTTTAATCATTTTATATAATTATTTAAAATTTAAAAAATATATCTTACCCATACAAGGACAATAAACAATATATCCATTTGTATCAATATCAAAATCTTCACAATATGTGCTATAAAATTTGGTTAATAGTAAAAGGAAAATAATACTGAACATTGCAATAGAATTTTTTTGATTTATTCTATTTAATGATAAATAGTTTGTTAATTAAAATATTATATATTAAAAATACAATTTAATTAATTATTTTAGTTTTTATATATATCCACTATTACTATGGATACGTGCATTGATTACTACAAACATAGAAGAGAAAACCATGAAACAATAATAAAATAGAGACATTATGTGTTTTAACATTAATTTTATCATAGACGAAAATCTAACATTTAATAGAATTATAGATAAGATATAATATAGATATATATATGCTTTTTTATGTTACTAGATTTTTTATAATTGGATTAAATAATTGGAATTAAATAAAATGATCTCTGTTTTTCTTCCATTTGTTTTTCTTGTCTATTTGCTCTTGGCGCGCAACTATGTATAAAACAATAATAAAAATGTCAAACATATTTTTATTATTTCTTTTTCAAAAATTATATATATTTTAATTTTTAATGTATAGAAAATATACAGGAATTTACGCACTCAAAAATATTTATAACATCTATAACTGGATATAAACTGGAGATTTTTGAAGTAATTTTAAGTAACATTTTCCTTTGCAAAAACTTTTGTTGAATATTATTAACAAAAAAATATTAACCAATCACGAAGCATATAGTCTCCATTAGTACATGCCATCGATAAATAAATAAATCCAACATACCTTAAAGAAAGTGTATTAAATATTATATTTACTTATTTATTCATTGTTTGTGATATAATTCGATATAATTTTTTATCGATAAAAGAATATTTGTTATATTTACAACATGTAATCACTATTATAACTTGATTAAACTTTGCGCTCTATGATTTTTAATAATTCGTTAACAAAGTCGTGTAAGAAAAAGAAAATGCTTGAAATTATCTCTGTAGTTTATAGATATTCTAATATTTTTGGAATAATTTGTATATAAAATCTGATTATTTAAGATTACAGAAAGAACATTTTAAGATTAAATTTTCCAAGTAAAGAAATGATTAAAAGATATAATATTAAAATTAAAAATATACATGTAATATATTAATAAAAAAATATATTAATATTAATTTAAATTATATATTGATTTAAAATTATGATTCAATTAATTATGTTTTTAATCATAATATTGATACAATTGATTCAAACCAAAGTTTCAAGAAATAATAAATAAGGTAAAATTAAATAAAAACATAGTTTATAATTACTTTATATTTATAAAATATTCTTCAAATATTTTTTTAACATATGTAAAATTATATTATAAACCCATTAATACAGTACTAGCAGTAACAGGAATTTGTGAAGGTGCACTAGCTTGTCTCACACTCATTTCCCAAGTATCTAATAACTGAGATACAGAAAAACGTCGAGGAAGTTTTGTTATACGTGCATTTAGAGCTTTCTGAACTGCGCAAAGAAATGTTGTGGCATATTCATGAGATGCCATTACGCAACGTGGGGGTGTCAATGGATAATCAGCAGGAACTGTCACTGAGACAGGTGGAACACATGGAAGATGACGATCATCCAACCAACATATCAATTGAATGCATTTTGATCCAGTTTGTTGTGCTGGATCCAAACTAACCTATATATATATATATATAATATATGTTAATACATATTATAAATTGACAAAAGAAAAATT